GTTACGTCATGTGGGTACATATGCCCCTAAGGGCTAGGGATCACTCTGTGCTTCATTCTGGTCCAGTCTCCTCACCTGTCTCCTCCCCGTCCATCCTGGTTTCAAAGTGTCCACAGCCATGAGAGGTAGGCGGTCAAAAGCACAATGAGCTACATCACCCTCAGGATGGCTACTCTCAGATAAACAGAATGCAATTGTTGGCAAGGACGCGGAGAAACGTGCTGTCCGTGCAACAACTGTGGGAAACGATTCTGTTCTTCCTCAACAATGAGAGTGACTGTGTGACCAGCAAGCTCACTGCTGGGGAGAAGGGGTGAAATCAGGGGCTCAAAGGGGTACCTTGGCGCCCGTGTTCGCGGCAGCATTTTTCACAATAGCCAAGAGTAGAAGCACCCCATGCCCACCGATGGAGGAATGGGTCAACAAAATGTGGTGAATTGATGCACTAGAGCATTATTCAGCCTTAAAAGGGAGATCACATCACATGCTATACCCTATGAATGGACCTGAGGACATTGTGCTAAGTGAAATAAGCCAGTTACAAACCCAGAAACTGTAGGATCCCCCTCTATGCGATAACTTCACAGGAACAGAATAAGAGTGGTGGTGCCAGGGGCTGGGGCGGGGACAGGGAGAGTTGCCGTTGGAGGGGTATAGAGTGTCCGTTTTGTAAAATGAAGTCCTTGGGATCTGTTGCTCAACGGTATGAATGCACTTAACATTGCTGAACTGTAAAACATCCAAAATGACCTTGTTGGAGAAGAGTAGGTTTAGTCTGTGCAGAGAAGGAAGTGAAATTATAATTGAAGTAAAAAAAAAAAAATCGGCCTGGGCTGGGTCGACCTGCACAGACCTGGGTGGGCTGTGCTGGTGAGCGGCTGTGTGAGCCCCAGCACGGCTCCCCTCCTCACCCCAGCTCCCTTCCCTGTCTTCGCAGGTACGCAATGATCCGATTCAACCAGTACTTCAAAGTGAAGCCTCAGGTGTCCGCCTTGGAGATGCCAAAGTGACCCGCGCCCCCTCCCTCCCCTCCCCATCTGCCTGGCAGGCTGGTTCTCCGGGACTTGGCTCGTTCTGGGGTCTGCACCCTCGGACAAGGTGGGAGAGGGGGCCAGGTGGGTATCCAGGGAGAAGGCTGCCAGCCCCTCGTGGGCGCTGCTGTGACCACATTCTCTTGTTTGGAGGTGTTGATGGACCTAGCTCTGGGGGTCCCCTTGACCTGGCCAGACCTGGGGCGGCGGGGAGTGCTTGCAGCAACCAGAACTCAGACCACAGCCACCCCTGGGAAGCCAGCGTTCTCAGCTCCAGGCCAGGCTGGAGTCTGGGCTGCCTTAGCGGTGTCTTCGACCCCCCTGGCTTGGGGAGGGGGGCAGTTGGGAGGGTCCTTTCTACCTCCAGTGCCCTGAGCCTGCAGCCACCTCCCGCAGGCCCCATGTGGGAGGTGTGGAGCCCAAACCAGCACCATGCCAACTCTGACAGGTGGATGTACATATTTTGGGGGTGGGGGTGGGAGGGAGGGTTCTAGAAGGGTTTGAGACCTCCCTAGCAACTGCCTCATCTGCGATCGTTCTCCGAGCCAGATCCAATCAAATAGCCCCTCCCCAAACCTCAGTCCAGGGGCTCGTCCTGTGCCCTCCGCTCTGCGCTGTCCCTCTGCAGCCTGCTGGGAGGAAGGCCAGGGAGCGCCAACGTCCTGGGCCTCCGGAGCCTGGCTCTACTTCCTGCTGTGGCTTGGCCAGAGGGGAAGGGCCAGCAGCCTTGCTCCTCCCCCTGGCTCCCCGGGATCGGTCTCTCCATGGCCACCCACTTGGGGTGGACTAGTGGGAGTCAAGGAGCAGGCCCGGGCCCAGGGCTCTCCTGGCAGGCTGCAGCTGGGTAGGATCTGGCTGAAGGTGCCGACATCATTGTCTGACTCTCAACAGTCTTCACCTCCTTTCTGCCCTAGCAGTCTGGGCCCAAAAAGTAATTCATTTGTAAATTATCTTGATTTTTCTGCATTAAAATGGCCATTCTGGACCACTCTGTGTCTGCGTGCAGCTGAGGAGGCGTTGACTGGAGGGTGTGGTTAATAAGCCTGTGGTGGGGAGGGGGAGTGTTCCAGCCCCCCTGGGGTCCCCTCAGGTAAGCCAGGTCCCCTGCACTGGATGCGCCTGGCCTGCCTGGCCCTGGCTCCTGGTTTGGGGTAGATCTGGGCAGGGCTGGTGGTTTCTGCCTTTGACCCTCTTGCTAGACTAGTTGGCTCTGGGAGGATGTGGACTCCTAGAGCGTGGCTTTACCCAGAGGTTGAACCAGTGGGACACTGAGGGTAGTGGGCCACTTCTCCCGTGGTCCCCGGCTCGGCCCTGCCTGGAACCAATCTGTCGCTTTCAGGAGGCTAGAGGGAAGGGGTCAGGAGCTCCAGGTGAGCTGGGGTGCCCGTCTCAGCAGCCCAGATTGCTAGGGCTGCCCTCCCAAGACTGGGCAGCAGTGCCTCCAGGCACTCCCCCCATGTGCCCTGTGCCCGTAGGGGCAGTATTGGCCCCTGTCAGGTGGACTCTGGCTGTTTGACTTTTGCCTGCGAAAGTGCCAGGGTTCCATGGCAACTGCTGAGCCGAGCTGGCCTACAGCCGGAACTGCCTCCAAGGTCCCGGTGACCCGCTGTGGCTGGGCCCCAGTGGGCAGCAGGACTGAGCCCAGGGGTGCCAGCGGCACAGGGGTGGTGCCAGGTCTGGGCAGGGCAGGCCCTGAGGGTTCTCTGTGGGGTCAGGTGGTCACGGTGTAGCCCTCCTGTGGACTGAATGGCAGTGCCCGCTCTTTGTTCCTCTCAGATCCACCTCCGGAGCTGAGGGCAGGAACGACCATCCTCCCGGGCCTTGATGCCATAGTGTCGGAGATGGTGTTGCAGTGATGAGCAGGGAATGGCTGGTCCAGGGACCCCCAGGTACCGTTCTGGCCCCTACGGCCCCTGGTCACCACACTCACGAGGGTGTTAACCTGCAGGCACCATCCTACTCCTTTGGAAAAGCATCCTTATTCCTCAATTCTCCAGGGAAGAGGGCAGGTGGGGCAAGCAGAGCGGTGAGTTTAGGCCAGCGGTTCTCAACCTGTGGGTCACGACCCCTTTGGCGTGCGAACGACCCTTTCCCAGGGGTCGCCTAAGACCATCCTGCATATCAGAGATTTACATTATGATTCATAACAGTAGCAACATTACAGTTATGAAGTAGCAACGAAAATAATTTTATGGTTGGGTCACAACATGAGGAGCTGTATTTAAAGGGCCAGAAGGTTGAGAACCACTGGTTTAGGCACATCCGTCCCCCACAAGCCTTGGAGTCCCACCATCACTCCAGACCAGCAGCACCCGGGCCACCTTTTAGACCCAGCAGGCACTGCGGACAAAGCATGCCTGGGCAGGGCTCATCTGCTGGGCTCGGACCCTTGGCCTGGGCAGGGGAATTGGAGGCAGAGAGTGAGCTTGTAACCTAGCCTTCCTGGTCATGACTCAGGACACACTGTTCCTGGTCTTACAACCAACCCACCTGCCCCCATCCTGCCTCTCCTGGCAGGGGGTGGGGCTCCAGGGCACCCAGACTCCAGAGACGGGAGGGCTTTTTCGGTCCTAAATCACACAGGGTATGTGGCTGACTCTGCAGCTGCAATGAGGTTAGGACGAGGATTCCCAGCGTGGGAGGGGGCAGTCCTGGCCTCAGGCTCCGAAGCCAGAGGACCTGGGAGTAGGGAAGCAGGAGGAACTCGGGGCTGGCAGGGGGTGAGGGTGAGCACAGCTGGGAGTGTCCTGCCCAGGCTCCCTGCGTTTGGTTTGGAGCGGAGCGGTGGTGGAGACTGGACGGGTGAAGGTAGATGGACAGAAGTTGAAATGAGCAACTCTCCCATGTGACCACTAGAGGGCAGGCGCTGCAGCCAGGACCTGCTTCCCCAGGACCACCTGCATCTCCTCCGTAGCCAGGGAAGCTGGGCTCCGCTATGGAGACACAGGGTGGGGAGGGCCACGGAGAGGCCTAAAGCTCTGAGGCCAGGCTGGGAAAAACCACCACAGGTTGGCAGCCAGGATGATCCCTAGATCAAAAGCCTGGGACCCAGCCCAGCCACAATGGCTGAGTGTTGAACTGTGAACCAGGAGGTCCCAGTTCAATTCCCGAACCCATTCAGGGCACATGACCAGATTGTGGGCTCGATCCCCAGTCGGGGGCACGCAGGAGGCAGCTTACCAGTGATTCTCATCATTGATGTTTCTCCCTCTCCCTTCCTCTCTGAACCCTCACTGTTGGGGAGTCTTCAATCCCAAAGTTGATTAGGGAATCAACCACCCCTAATTTCTCTCTCCAGCACCCTCTCCAGTTTAGGGCCCCCTTCACCATTCAGGAGCCTCTGCTTGAATACTTCCTGTGTTGGAAAGTTCACCACCACTTTGAACATCTTTGTCAGAACGTTGTTTTTCATTCTAAGCCAAAACATTGACCCTTGAGAAGCATCCAGATGAGCTGCAGATAGTTGGCATCTGACAACTTTGAAGAAAGTGGTCTTACCCTTCGTCTCCTTTAACCAGGCCTCTAACAACACGGCCACTAGGATCCCTCCAGTCAGAGGGCTGCCTCTGGGCCCCTTCAGTGTGACAGCAGCCTTTTGTGTCGAGGGCCTAGGACTGCCATGATGCACCGGGGCCAGGCCTGTGGGGTGTACGCTGGCTCATCACCTCCCTTTTTGTTTTTTTTAATATTTTTATTAAGTTCAGAAAAGAATGGAGAGGGAGAGATAGAAACATCAATGATGAGAGAAATCACTGATTGGCCACTTCCTGCACGCCCCCCTCTGGGAATCAAGCTTGCAACCCAGGCATGTGCCCTGACCAGGAATTGAACCTAGGACCCTTCAGTCCCCAGGCCAGTGCTCTATCCACTGAGCCAAACCAGGTAGGGCTCATCACCTCCCTTTTTGTGAACATGTACCTCTACTACTCCAACCCAAATCTAACTCCTTCACAACTCTGCCATCCAGCTTTGCTGCTCCCGTTCCATATTAACAGGGTTGATTTTTAACAAGCCTTCTTATTGATCCCTGTTAGTATCTGTTTTGGGAGACTTAATCTATCATGTAGCCCTGAAACACATCATTAGAGGCCCTGGGGAGCTCACACATGGCTTGGGGTGTCCATGTGCACACTTTTCTAGGAAGAGGGCATGTCCAGGGCTTTCATTAGATCAGTGATGGCGAACCTATGAGACGTGTGTCAGAGGTGACACGTGAACTCTTTTGGTTGATTTTTCTTTGGTAAGTGGCATTTAAATATATAAAATATCAAAAATATAAGTCTTTGTTTTACTATGGTTGCAAATATCAAAAAATTTCTGTATGTGACACGGCACCAGAGTTAGGGTTTTTCAAAATGCTGACACGCCGACCTCAAAAGGTTCGCCATCACTGCATTAGATTCTCAAAGGCACCTCTTAAGGGGGTAAGAACCATGGATAAGGCTTAATAACTTTGTTTTTGGATGAGGACAATGAAACCCAAAGGGGCGTCCTGACAACCCCCCACCCAACACACACACACACACACACACACACACACACACACACACACACACACACGGCCATGTGGCCAGTTGTGGGAGAACCCAAGCTTCCTGGCTCATCACAGCGTTTTGCCTCCTTCCTTAGGGCTGGGAGGACAGACACTTGGTGGTGAGGTCTGGCTCTGGGGACAGGGTAAGGGAGTGGCGGGCGGGAATGGGGGCTGGGGGAGCGCTGAGCCTGAGCCCCCCTTGCTTGCTGGGGATGTTTCCTCTCCGCCCAACGCCTGGAGGTCCCTCGAGCTGCCACAAGGGGGCAGTGGTGCCTGAGCTGGTGCCTCCCCACTCCCTTGTGCAAGGGCCTGTGATTCGGAAATGGTCTGCCTTTATTATACCAACAGAAAACAAAAAATTCCCAAGTGTAAACAGGAGAAATGTGCTGGTTAAGTTACTCATCATTATCTTATTATTAACAAAATAAAGCACTATGTTTACAGTCATAAAAAAAGAAACAGCCTGGAGAGAAGTTGGGCTTTGGGGAGCAGATGAGGGTAGGCACAGACTCCACACCTGCCCCTGTGGGATTTGGGGTTCCCTTCCTACTCAGACCGACCTGGATCTTTGGAGTCATGCCAAAGAGACTTAATTTCCTTAAGGAAATAACTTGTGAGGTGATCAGGAGCAGAGGCAGGTCCCCAGTGTAGAGCGAGGAGCAGGCAGAGCTGTGTGGGAGGGATGGAGAGCAGTGCCGAGGGAGCCGGCTCTCCAGGGCTTTTGTCACTGACAGGAAGGGGGCGCCACCCGTCCTCCTGCTCCCACTCCTGGCACTCGGATGGGGCCAGGGTCTGGGCCACCAGGACGGAGCTCCTTGGAGGCCGAGCACATCCCATGCTGCTGGGAACGGACAATGGCTGTGGGGACCCACCAGCAAGTCAGGGAGGGGGTGAAAGGGTGGGCAGGGAGGCCAGGGTGGCCCAGGGTCCTTCAGAGACCCAGAGTGACCAGGGCAGAGCGGCAGTCAGACACCAGGAGGGGAGAGAGACACAGGCCCTGCAGAGACAGGACAGAGAAACGCACACAAGGATGCACAGAACCTGAGACACCCAGACTGACAGAGGTAGCAATTTGGGGACAGAGAGAGCTCAGAAAGCGGCCCCCAGAGAAGCAAGACAGCATTCAGGGACACACAGGAACTCAGCGACAGTGCCTGGCACATAGTGGGCACTCAATAAATATGCAGTGAATGACGGGTGAAGACGCGTGCACACGCGCAGCAGCCACACACACACCAGGCTTGGCGGCGATAAAACAAAGAGAGGGACAGCCAGACCTTTTTGCACCGAGTGCAAAGGGATCCCGGTGAGAGAGGAGCCATGTGTGCACGTAGAGGGCGTGGGGGGTGTTGGTCCCATGGTGGCTGGGCCAGCCAGGACAAGAATGGAAACGAAGCGTGTGGCTCCAGGAAGGTGGGTCTGAAGCTGCCATGCCCCCCGGGGGGTAGACCTGC